TTGAACACTAAAGGGTTAAGAAGAATACCAGTAATACAAATGATAAAGCATGAAGCTTTATAAGTACATATCAATATTCTGTGGCTTTAACTATAAAATACTTGTAAGTTATATAAAGCTATTATTTAGCCACAGTGGTCAGTCAGTATTGAAACCTATTCACAGAGCATTCATTTCCTCTGCTTTAAGGAATGTTCGATAGGGTATTACCAGGTCTGGTTCATAGTACACTCACCCCCTGAACATCCTGATCAGAGGGACTGGGCCCAAGCCTGATTGGGAAGCCCAGGTAGTGCTATCTTTCACTATCTTATCAGCATTTGTTTTTTCTCCTTACATTTATATACATTACAAATTAAACTAAGCACAACTGAATATTAAAGGATGAAAAATTTTTGTGGATTTTGACGTCATTCTGGGGTCTTTTATTTTTTTTCGTCCAAATCCATGAATTTGTTTTGTTCATGCTAAACCTTTAAAAAAACACTATATAAAATCCACTATTTTTTATCCATGATTTTGAATGTGTTAAAATTATTCTGTTTTTTTACAAGAAAAATCTCAATCTGATGTTAAAAATTACCATAAAACATTGCTGATTTATTTAAAATGGAGTGATCTATGACAGGTTTCTAATTTGTATTTAGATACATTGTATTTATTTTCAATTTTTCTAGTTGAATTGTTCACCTATATTTGTAACAGAGAGAGGTATACACACACAAACACACATGAATGCACACATGCAAATATAACTTTAATTGACTGGAAGTGGAAATGGTGTTTATATATCAAAGTACAATTTGGGTTAAGATGTGTGTTTACCGATGAGAAACACGATCTCAGGCAGGAGGCGATGTTTTAAATCTGGATCATTAGAAAAAACAATGAAAAAATGATCTTGAGAATTGAAATAGACCTTACTCAGGCTACAAGATAATTGGGTTTGTTTATCAGTATTTGTTTTGATTAAAAGGTTGAATCAATGTTCAGATATCCCAAAGTATAATTTTGGGGAAGCGAAAAGAACTCGTGGTAAATAATTGGAGAGTCGGTTTACATGTCAAGGGATAGTTTTTGGCACTCATGATAATCGCGTGCCGGGCCAAGGGTTGATTCATGATCAAACAGATTTATCTATATAAACCAGCGTAGTTATGCTGAAGAGGAAGCAGACAGTCAAGCAAGACTGAAGAGGCCAGACTGGAGAGAGAGACAGGAGAGACTGCAATCGGTCGGCACATCGTTGTCATGTGTGTGAGCACCCACAGCTGACCATTACGGGTCGCGGTGCTACAAAAAGATGGGAGAGAGACTCGGAGAACGAGACCATCATCGAGAGAGTCACGAGAGATTTGCGGGAGAATTAGAGAAGGAAGACTGCCCCTTGTTCTGAGAAGTCTGTATGAGACTGGATTACTAGTCATAAACCTACCCCAGGCAATTCAATACGCGTTTATCACACACAAACCCTCTCTCTGTTGGGAATTCGCTGGATGCATTGTGTCTTTTTCTTTTCCCATTTATGTTAAATGTTTTTATTCTCCCTGTAACCTCTGTTCTGATGTTATCTTCTTATATAAACAACATCAATATTTCCCCCATTGTTGTCTGGCTTCTGTAGATATTTTTGTTTTATTTTGCCACATTTCTAAACTTCCTACCGCCAACTTTCACAGCAGTGTCCACACCCCCAGTCAATCGTGAACGTATGGACAACACCCCGCTTACTGGATCTAAAAACTAACACAGCGTGGGCAGCAAGCAGGACTTGACCAGTTGACCAGTCGAAATAATCTATGGGTACTCGGGGAGCATACAGCCAGTTACCCCTGAGTTCGGTTCGGACTGAGTGGACACCTCAACCCAAAGAGGAAGATGGCGGAGGTTGAGGGGCTGGGGATGAAATGGTAGATTTGGTGACATGTTGACCAGGATAGACCCATGGGAATTACCACAGTCATTTGAAAGTGGTAGATATTGCACATGATCCATTATTGTACATAATTAGGTTACAATAAAATTTGTATTTTATATGAATACTACCTTATGAAAAGTGGTGGGGCTTGTATAATAGATTTGAGGGGCATATCATAGATGGGAGGGGGCATTGTTAAATCCCTGGGGTCCTGACCAAATTGTTGAAAAATCTGAATAAGTGATGTTAGTGCAATTAAATTGATATATCTTGAAAACCATTGAAAGACAAGTATTACAAGTTGATTTTATATTAGGGTAAATTGGTTTCTCTTTTAAATGGCACCAAACTTAGTCTCCTTGGTATTACTAGTTATGATATTGTTGCCATTGGCAGAACTCATTGCTTTATGTGCCCATTGTGAAATGTCCTATGTTGAAGAGACATCCACAACCACTGCATAGGAGGGTTCAGGGAATGGAGAGCTCTGGCTTTTCTTTAGGCCCTCTTCATGTCTTATATTTGTCTTCTGTTGTTTTCGAATGATGTTTTTTCATGGACTGCTCTTCTCCAATTGGTTCTTTTTGCAGATTCTGTCTCCCAATTGACCAGATCAATTTCTGTCCTCAGCAAGGTGTTTTTAAGCTGATCCTTGAATCAATGATGTGGGGATCCACATTATCTCTTGCAAGATGCAAGATTGGTTTGCATAGGTAGATTCAGCCCATTGAAGACAATGATGAGTCATGATGGTTTCTAGGCTCACTGTCTTTGGGTAGAGAAGAACTTCATGTTCATGATCCAGTCCTGTCATGTGTCTCGCAGGATTTGGCAAAATTACATTTGATGAAATCTTTCAAGTTTGCAGTTGTCTCTTTTTGGTAGAGTATCCATATCTCACAGGCATACAGGAGAGTCAAGATTGCAACATCTCAGTAGATCATGAGTTTGGTGGTTTGTGTTAGCCCAGAATTGCTTCCTATATGCTGTGTGGCCGGCTTTAAGATAAGTTATAAGATAGGGCTTTGGAAATCTACAACTTTTAAAAAATTGTAGATTTCCAAAAAGTTAAAAATTTTCATTGCTTCTAGGTGTGTATTGCAATACAGTGTTACCTGATTTTGTGGGTTGCATTCATGTTTTACTCCCAGACTGTAAAGCAAATGCATTTGGGCACTCCTGGCCATGAAGGGTGAATGATAGATACAGGAACTAACTTCACATAATCCACAAAATACCAGACATTAAAATAATCACGTGTCAATAATACAAGAGTCCTGTGCTGAAACCAAGAAAGTAGAATAAAAACAATTTCAGATGTTTCAGAACATTCTTCAGCATGTTTAAAATAAAACCATTTTCTATGGGCAAATAGAAGAGTTTTTTTGGTTTAAGACTATGACAGAGAAGTTAAAAAAAAATGTGTTAATTACATGACTCCTATTTTTACAGTGATTTTACACTCTGCCTACCATCAGCATGGCTGACACTAAACTCCAAAAGAGCAAAACACTGCACCTTCTTTGGCTTCACATTTTCCACTGACTTGAAGTGGAACAACTACATCAAATCAATAGTTGCATCTATTTCAAGAAAAGTTGGATTACTAAGCTGTCAGAAAATTTTTCTTGTTGGAATCCATCTTGCACATTTACAAATCTACTATTTGTCCGTACACTGAATACTGTTGCCATATCTTGAGACTCTTGACAAAATTCAAAGAAGGGTCTGCAATGTCATCAATCCTGACCTGGCATCTCAACTTAAGTCATTTTCTCACCTTCGTGACATGGCTTCCCTCAATCTTTTCTACAAATATTTTTATAGCAATTGTTCTGAGGAACTTTCCAGCGTGGTACCTTGATTGCATGAATTTAAGCATGCTACTAAATTAGCAACACTGTTGAAATAGCTAAATGCAACTGCCACTTCTACTCCAACAGTTTTTCTCACACTCCCACCACTGGAACTTCCTTCCATTTGTTTGCTTCCCTGATAACTACAATCTTTAAAAATTTAAATGCAACATCAATTACCATCTTTTGTCTTCTTGAATCCCCTTCATCTTTTGCCCTTTCCTCTATCCTCCTTATTTTCAGTCTTCTCTTTCACTTTCACTCCTTGTAACCCCCTGCATACCAGTAGTATTCCCACCTTGCTTGGGATGAAATGATTAAAAAAACAAAACAAAAAAAAACTTGTTAGGTTTTATTGCAAAAAGTACTATCACTACAATCAATAACTTCAGAAGAAAAAAAAATGGTGTTTGTTTTTCTTTTGGAACTCTAGGCACATATGTATTTTGTTTACTGTTCAATGCTTGGTTGGGGTTTCATGGGAGATTTATATAAAATTTTTACACTGTTTACAGAGGTTTGATATAAACTTATTAGGTTTTATTTAAAACAAGCAATTTTAATAAATCCAACATTTAAGATTCTCAAATAAAAGCATCTGGTTTTATATTATTTCAAAGTTTGTGATATTTATATTTACTGTTTACTGGTCTTTTGAACAGGAGTTGGGGGTTTATTCTACATTTCTTGTTTAAGACTGGGTTTCCAGTTCCTTCTAAATTCTACTCCAACTCTATACTCCAAACATCTCTGCCTAAACTCTGAAATTTTTACTATTTATTTTTCCTCTCTTAATAGGAATAGATAGGTTTGCCTATCATTTGCTTCACACTCCTCCCTGTTTTTTTTGTTTTTTTTTAACAGGAGTAGAGGTTTATTCCTTGTTTTACTGTTTAGGATTGGGTTTCCAATTCCTTTTCATTATCTTTTACTTCCAGTAGCCCCTTGTGTCTTATTGGCATTATCAACTTGCTTGGGGTAAATTGATTAAAAATACAAAACATATTAAACAGTTTTCAGTAACTGAATTTGTTTATGTTAATGAATTTTTGTTCTTGTGTGTGTGTGTGTGTGTGTGTGTGTGGAGGGGATTAATTGTAATTTAATAATTTTTAAAACGATATTTAAAATTTTTTAATGTTATTTTAATTATTTACATTATTTTTAATGCTATTTTAATTTTTTTAATGCTTTTTAATAATATTTTTAATGCAATTTAATTTCAGCTGCAATAGCCAGAAAGGCAACTCTTGCCACTTGGTTCATTGTCATGATGGTCGTAATTGCTGTTCTCATTTTTATCATGATTATCGTATGCATTGTGAAAAGGAACCGAGAGGCGAGATATCATGGTAAGTTAAGAATTTATATTTCAACAAAAACAACAAACTGACTTCTTTATTAATCAAATCTGTTGTCATATTCTTCATTTTAATCTACAGGATATTTTATTGCAAATCACTTTGAATCTTTTGAAACTATATTAACCACTTTTTAGTCCAATGCAGGTAAACCAGTAAGAGTCTGTAGCTCAATTTTAGAGTTTGTTCAATAACTTGAAATATAGTCTTTCATTTAAAAAGAGCAACTTGAGTGCAGTTTTAACTTTCGTTCCTGAAAAAAAAAAAGTGTGTCAAAAAGGTAGCACTATTATTGTATACACTTGACTCCACCAGCAATGTTTATTTACAAGATTATAAAAATGAACCAAATACAATGCAATATTTATTATTTACCTTTTATACTGATTTATTATTTACATTTTATAAGAAAATAAATTTAAAAAAATCTTTTTATTCAAAAATTTTTAAAAATTACAAAATTATCAAAATAGGTAAACCAACTACAATAAAATATTTTTTACCATTTCCTAAGTAGAACAAGAACATTTGAATAAACATATATGACAAACAAATTAAAATAATGTTTCATTCAGTGGAAGAGGTGCTCTCAACCTATTTTAGTGAATTTGTGGCAAGTGCAAATGAAAGATATAGCTGGAAAATGTATTTTTTCAAAATTTCTAATTACAATTACTTGTCATTATGTTTATTTAAATTTTTTGTTCAGACATTTTTATAAATTTATGAATAAAAAAGATTTCTTTTTGTAATTATTTCTTTGTAAAATGATAAATAATAAATATTTCATATTTTTATAATCCTGTAAATAAGAAATGATCATTGTAAATAAGTAGTCTAATAAATAAACAGTATTTAACATCTTTGTTGTTATTCCCAAGAACAAAAAAATTGTATAAATACATTTTCATATGTTTAGGTTTTATTAACATTCTAATCATCACTTAAAACAAAACATTGCCGAGGGGGTCAGTAATAGTGGTGTCAAGGGAATAACCCTCCTTTTGACCCACCCTTTTTTTTTTCTTTTTTTTTTTTTTTGTGTGGGCATGAGGGTTAAACACTGCCAACTTGACACTATGCAGTAAATAATTGCTTAAATAGTAACTACTTATTTATATTCAGACTAATATCCTCATCATTAGTCTGGAGGTAAATAATCCAAATAATGATAACTCCCCCTTCCAGAATTTCAGACAGAAAGTAATTATTGATATCATATTATTCAAATTTCTGTGTTATTTTCTGATGATGTTGTGTCTGGTTTAAACTAAAGTATGCCTTTTTGTCTCTCTTTTTATTCGTTTCTCTCTCACCTGACATTATAAAAGCAATAAGGTAAATCTAATGGCTGCAACATTTTCTATATTTCTATAAATATTTAAAAATGTATATTTTGGGATCTTTATAAAGACAGGTCAAGATGCTGACCAGTTCAGCTGCATAAGTCTGAAAAGGAGTTTGGAAGTTAAATTTACCTAAAACGTCTACAGTATTGGCAAAGGTTCAATAGGTTAAAAGGTTAAAATAGCTGGACTCTTCTGACTTGTTTTTGATACCCTTGTGCTAAGTTGTCAGGATATTCTTGGTATTTATTTACTGGAAACTTTGTAATAAAACAAACTAACTCAGGGGTATAAAATAAATAATATATATATATATATTTATTTGATTTAGATTAGAGTGAGTTGTTGGATATTCAGGTTAACAAAATGTTAATTTATAAAACAGATCTTAGTAGAGAAAGTCTGTTTTGGCTTGGTAGTTTTGATAGTTGAGAAGTCAGAACTTGATAGTAATAGTCATCTTAGAAATAGGCCAGTATCAATCTACTGTGTTTTTCTTGGCCCTAAGAAGGGCAGAAAATATTAACAAATGACCTGTTAACTTCATCACACATGGCTGATTTCTCTGGTGGTCATCTCTCTTGTTTCAGTGTTTCTCTTGGCATCCCTTCTCTCATCTAATCCAGAGCTTTTGATCAGATTCCCAGACTTTGGCACGAACCTTGCTTTTGGTTAACATCAAAAGTTTCTTTGTGTTAATTTTTTTGATTGGTCAAATTTATTTTATTTTCTGACATTCCTTCTTCATTTGTTTTATATGGCGGAAATTATGTATGGAGCCTGTCTTATTCTGTCTTATAGATTCTGATAGTCATAGTCATAAATAAGTAAATATAACAATAAACTGTCTTTAATATCAGATTTAAAAAATATATATGTATACACTAGTAGGCTCTGGTCCTGCAAACTTCAATGTTTTTTGTTCGGGTTCAGTCTTTTCCTGTTCATTTGGGGGTTGCCTTCTTAGAGAGAAGTATAGAAAGAAAAGATGGATAGAGAGAGAAAAAGAGAATGGTTTTAAAGGAAAGTGCAAATGCCTTATTTTAATTTGAATTCTTTTTATTTTTGTTTATATATTTTATTTTTATTTTTTTTATCAGTACTCACCACAGTAAGAATTGAATTCAAATTTTTTTCTAATCCTTCAATTAAAATATTTCCAAAAAATTTCTTTTTCATGTGAGATTGTCATAACATGAATTGAAAGATTTGCATAAGGAAATAATCAGCCTATTTAGAAGTTGTGTATTCATCCATGTTTGAGTCCAGGTAAAATCCAGTATTTAGAAAACTGATTTTTAAGGCAAACTGGTTCTCTATTCTTAGAAGATAACAATGCACTAACATGCCTTCATGTATCTTCCACATACATCAAGAGACACAAGACATTAGTTTCCATCACAGTAAACAGGCAACTTTATGGTGAAACTAGTATCCTCATTTCTGTTATCTGTCTATATTTCTGAGATGAGGTATTTTAATTATTTACTCTATTTACATTGTTCGGACTTTTGTACTCATCTTTTGGGCCATATTCACAACATTTTGGTCTTCTTCAGGTGAATGAAATTTCAAGCTGAACTCTTCATTTCATCCACTGGGGTAGATTGTTCTAGATCCATGTTTCATGCCTCTTCCGGATGTCTCAGTTATCTTCCTTTGACTGAACTCTGCAGTTCACCACTGCAGTAGCCAGGTATTGAATTCACTAGATCTGACCAACTGGGCCATGTGAAGACATCAGTGTATGAATTTTGGGGACTTATAAACTTAATGTCTCGGTAACAATTTTTTTATACCTGAGCTCATATTGCAATTTTTGTTGTTATTATTGCTTTTCTGTAGCACTCTGTATTACTGGTGCCCATATTGTATTCATTTCTATGCTTGGCTGGGTTAGATTTTTGTAGCCTAGCATATATGCTGATTGCTTAAGTTTTTGTATTTTCCAGTGATGTTCTTTGTCTATTATTTCAATCTCATCCCACAGGGGATGGTGATCTCCCTTTTCCCTCCATATGTAGTCAGCTATGCCTGATTTTTCAATTTCCCCTCATGTTACGGCTTTGATGTTCTTGCAGTCTTGTCTTAAGGGGGTGGCCTGTTTCTCCTTTATATTTCTTACCACAGCTGCACAGGATGGCATATATACAGTCCTTGGTCAAGTTTTTTTCTATTGGGGGGGTACTTGGCAGAGGTGTCTGTGAAGTGTTGAAACACTTTTGAAAATCATCCTGATGTTATATGGACCACAGATCTTTTGTATTTTCTCCCAATAATCCCTTCACACCGGGTAGGCAGACTGGAGCTGCTTTCTGAGTGTTGTTATTCTCTTGTACCCTTCTATTCCAGTTTGATGGAGCTGCTGCCATGTACCCAGGGTAGTTGTTACATTGTAGGCTACTGCTTATATTGACCATTTCTTGTTCATATATCTCTGGATTGCCACTTATGTCTCTTGCTCAATGTAAGCAGCAGTTGATTCTTGTATGGGCGGTGGGAGTTGAAGTTGAGGTATTGTCTGGTGAATGTTGGCTTGTGGTATATGGATGTCTTGAGCCCATGTTCTGTTCAAAATATTAGTAAATCCATGTATGCTAGTTTGTTGTTGTTTTCTCTCTCTATTGTGAACTGTATTGATGATCTTATTGAGTTCACATGGTCCAGTAGTAGTTGGACCTCTTCCTAGTGTGGCCAGAGTATGAAGGTGTCATCTATATATCTCAGTCATAGGGTTGGCTTTAGTGATGTGGATTCTAATGCCATTTCTTCAAAGTATTCCATGTATATGTTTGCCATTGTTGGTGATAATGGTGAGCCCATTGGTAAACCTTCATCCTGTCAATATATGTCTGACCCCATTCTGAAGTGTGTTTGTGTACAGAAAGTCAGCATCTCCATCAGGTTATCTATTGTTATACTGGTCCATTCTCCTAGAGGTGAGTCCAAGGCTAGTCTGTCCCTGACTACCAATCATTTTTGTTGTTTATTTAAATTCACCAGTTTGGAGAACAGGGAAATAGGCAACTTTATGGCAAGACTACTATCCTTATTGTAATGATACTGGCAAATTAATATGCCTAATTTGCATAAGTGCAAGAGAAAGACTATATAACTGGTCACTGAGAATAATGTAAAAAAGAAGAATACAAGCTTAGCGACTGACTAGTGCTAAACTTGCACATTACAACAATGGTGTCTCCGATAGGATCGCATTTGTCTCTAGAAGATTCAGATTACGTGGATGCATGAATTCGCTGTTTTTCTACCAGTGCGAGAAGTAAAAAGCTGAAAGACAACATGGAGAAGGGAGGCGACAATGAAATTACGGATTTATTTTTGGCTACAGCTGGATACAAGGCAATAATGAAAGTCTCCACCATGGCATATCCCACAAACTTGGAAGACCTGACTTTTGAAAAAATAAGTCAGGTTATAAGGAGAAATATGAGACCCAAGAAAAGGCTGGTAGTGGCAGAAAGAACAAAGTTCATGTCGATGAAACAAGAAATTGACGAACCAATCAGAAAATATCTACACTGTCTACGAAATGCGAGTAGATATTGCGAATTTGAAAAACTCGGACAAAACGAACAGACTATTGAAGAGGACTTGATTCAATTAAGGTTAATTGCAGGTATGTGC